CACAAGGACAAATAAATGCACTTAATAATATTGTAATGCAGCAGCTAATGGACACATGCAGCCACAAAGAAGAAGGCACGATTGTTTTCTGGGAAGTTGTTACGGATAATTACATTAGACATTACTGAGAGCATCCAAAGCCACTTTCAAAATGAAACACAATGAAATCAGACTTCTGAAGCTTGTCACTCCAGGCCTAGATCTTTATATGTATTTACTTGTTTAATTGTTTGATTTTAAAGCAGGTCTAGGTTCTGTATTGATACTGTGAAAGTATCAAAGAGCTCAGTCCATGGAGAAATGCACACAGCCTGTATTCAGAAACTGAGGCTGTCACAACAAAGCAGTCACTGCTTCCAGCCACGCCCCAAGCCCCGCCCACCTGGACCCACCATCCAACCTTGCAGGATTTGGTTTCTCTGAGTGTTTACCCAAAATCAGCAATAATTATTATTCCATCACTCAGAATACTCATAACAAAGCACCGACCTGTTGTTACTAGAGCTCCAGAGAGAAGCCTGAGAGAGGAGACGTCAGATGACATTGAGATGGTTTTTGGTTCTTAAAACCACAAATATATCTTCTTATGGATCAACACTTCAAATAAAACACAGGACAAGTATAAAATATGGAGCTTTAATGCTTCCCTTTGTTGTATATGATAGTAAACTGAATATTTTTAAGTTTTGGACTGTTGATCTAACAAAACATTACTTTTAACGTTGTCACCTTGGGCTCTAGGAAACTGTCAAGGGTCAATTTTTTTTATTTTTAGACATTTTAGACAATAATAAATTAATCTTTAATTAATTATCAGTTTTACCTCCTCCTTCTTCATCTCTCTCCTCCCTAAACTCACATCCTTCTCTCCTATATGAACGTCTTCCCTTTCTCTACATCCATCTCCTTCTCTTTAAATATTAACGTATATTTGGAAGGAGCTCTGTTTTCTCACATTAGCAGCTTCTCCTCCACCTGAGTGACGGCTCTGAACGGCCACGACCCGCGGCTGAACCTGTCCACCAGCCGGCTGACTGACACACTCTCATTAAGACGTCCTCTGCTCTTTCAATCTCTCTCCATTTTAAGGCACGAGCTCATTCCTCCACTCCGTCTGTTTGCGGCCTTATCTCAACACACTGTCGGCGCCTCCGAGTCAACCGTGTCAAAACAAGACGTAAAGGACGTTTAGGCTCCTCCACCTCGCCGCCTCTTTTTACTTCTCCTTTCCACAACTTTCTCTTTCTATCATCTCCTCCCTTCCTCACTGTGCCTGACTTATATCACTTTCCTGCTTCATCCATCATCATCAAAACTCTTGTCAACTGCAGTTTTTGCAGTAAATGCTGAACATACTGTATTAAGGTCACATCCATCCATTGTGCTCGACATGTCTCATAGCCGTCCGCTTCCTTCCTGAACGGCTTTACTTCACACAGCTGTTCAAGGAAATGCCAGGAAAGTTTTTTTTTTTCATCTCCCAAAATATTTGGGCCGGCTTTGCAGCTCCACCTCGTGTGATTTGTCAGAGCCGTGGCTGGTATGTAACCTTGGCTCCTCGCTCTGAACTTTGACCTCTAAGCACTGTCCATCAGTCCTCATCCCTGATTACCTGGAGGGTTCAACATAAACCTTCCAGCTTCCACCTCCTGCTGCACAGTTTGCTGCTTCATAAACTCTCAGCAGACGGGCTACTGAAACCAAAGAGGTTCATTTTCTGCTCCTCTCCAGTCGAGCTGAGAGGGGCGGTGTCAGTTTGACTTGAGGTTTTAGCTTTCTAGGCAACAATGCAGCCAAGGGGAGAATTAAAGTTGCTGTACATCCGTCTTTTGGAAAAAAAACGTCATTACCCGAAGTAGGGATTTGGGTTGCCATGCTATCCTTTAAAATGCTAATCTGCAATATCCTTTTATTGTGGCGACATCTGTGGTGTTTTTGAATGGTATTTCCCAGAGATCAATGTTGTTCCAGACTTGGACTGTAATGCGTTTTATGTTTTATGCTGATAGAATTTGAATTAGTGTAGGTGGCGATCTTTTCTACTCAGGTCTTCTTCTGTTTATTACAAAGAAAAAACACTTTTGCTGCTGCTGCAGGTAACGGATAAACCACCAGACCCCAGCTGTTTAGAAAAACTGCTTTTCTCTATCAATCAGTGATAAGAAGAGGGCAACAAAAGTGTGTGTGTGTGTGTGTGCTATGTATATATATATATAACATTATTCTTCATGTGTTTTGGATCCAGTGTGGAGAAATATAGTAAGAGTTGGTACTTTCTCACATCCATTCTCTCCACTCTCTCCCATGCTACTGTATCTCTTTCTTTCCTTCCTTCTCCTCGTGTCAGTAGCATGTCTTTCGCCCCGAGCAGCTAACGTTTGAGCAGTGACACAAGAACATGTCAGCGACCGTCATAAGTCACTATGTTCCAGCTTCATGACTCAGTGAATTGCACTGACGGCTGGTTTTAAGGCTCAGTTTCTGAATACAGGCTGTGTGCTTTTCTCTGTGGACTGAGCTCTTTGATACTTTCACAGTGTTAATATAGAGCCTACACCCGATTTACAATCAATAAAGACATGGACATCTCTAATGGGACCTTTGAGTTTTGAAGAAAGGCTCATGTGGTGTTTAATTATTTTCACGTTTCACTTCACTCAGAATCCCAAAAATATGTAATTTACTGTCTGAAGCTCTTGTGTTGCTAATACAACATTCAACTTCACTGTTCATTCACTGCAGTTGTTGTTTTCAATCAGATTCTAATCACTCTGCAGTCTGGGAACTTCACAGACTAGCAGGTGTAATGTGTTTCTTCAGTGGTTCCCTTTCATTAGTTTCCTTCTTCATTTGTGCAAGTGCATCAAACGCCCAAAAGCAAACCACCAGGCAGCACAAATACTGGCTGTATTTACATTTCTGCATAATAGACACGAAACTCTGACCTTTTACTCATTTGAACAGCTCATTAGTGTCCAAACGAGCGACTTCATCAGTGGCGGGGGGGACGTGGCTTTGAATCTTGTGTACTCTCTCTCATCTCTGTCTGTTTCTCAGCTCTGTCTTCTCTGCCTCCGCTCTGTCTTTCATCCCCGCACAGTTCACTTCTTTGTTTCTCACAGACACCCAGCTGTCTATCCCCTCTCTCTCCCACTCTCTCTCTCTCTCTCTCTGGCTCTGTCTGGTGCTGGTGTGCTCCTGCAGACTGATGTAGGTGGTCAGGATCAGTCCAGACAGCAGGAGGGAGAGGAGGGTCCTGTCTGGGGCGCTCAGAGGACGACTGGCTGGCTCATCCTCTCTCCTTTCTTTCTCTTTCTCTATCTATCCAGCACATGGACTTGGCTGAGAGAGTCTTGGAAGTAAAATGTTATCCAGAAAACAAAAGAGAGTCAGGATTCAAGAGCAATAGTAGTTTTCACTCAGGTCATTTGAATTTGTTTGCTTTAGGACCATTTATTCCTAATCTCATGTCCCGTCTTTGCATTATGGTTCCTGATCAACTGACATACTTGAATTGAGATACGGGGGGTGTGTGTTTGTGTTGTTGGTCGATGAGTATTCAGAACACAGCCAGAGAGAGACAGAACCAGCATGACAGATGAGAAGACATGATGAGAAGCACTCGCTGAGAAAAGAAAGATAATTGAAAGGAAATGTACAAGAGAAGGTGAAAGGGTGACTGGCAGCGATCAGTGAATCCCGTATCAAATATATTTAAATTTTAGCTTCAGTCTTTACATTTTGGTTTTTCTTCGGTTTTTCATCCTCTCCTCTTCTGATTCATCTGTGTGCAAAGTGAACTGTTGGTCATTGGTTGTCATTGGCATTTTGCCTTTCCATGGAGACTGGAGTCCAGCAAAACAAAACTGTCCACGTTTTTACATTGTCTGTGTTTATGAGTGTTGCAATAGATTAAAATTCGCCTCAGTTCCCAGACTGCAAATAGCACAAATAACTGACCATGCAAAAGTCAGAGCCACAGATCCCTAATGATACTCCTGTCACAAAAGAATTAGAAATCGCTGTCAGTGATGCCAGAATCACGGCAGTGTGCAACCATTACTCCCTGTTTTTCACTGTACTTATAAACTGGTGAGTTATCTGTGACTCATGTGGAGAATTCATAGTTTTGACTTCAAACATTTAAAATAAAAACCCAATTAAGCTTAATATTTGAAGAATACCGATGACAACTACTTACATACATACAAAGACTAAATGTTTTGTATGGAAGCTTTTACTGCTGCAACAGTTGTGACTTATCTGAATAACGTTGCCCAGAAAATCAGTTATTAGTTGTATTGCATTTTGGCCACAGTAGGCTGGAGTTTAATATTATCATTTAAAGGAAAAGTTAAAAGTACCTGAACCTGATTCGTCAGTACATATCGTTATCATATAGCTATAGTTGTTTCTCATGGTTAGTGTTGTTTACTAGCTTCTACCTAGCTGACGTTACCATGTCATTACCATCATCATATTTAACAGTTTTTTTTTTTTCATTTGAAGCCTCGTAGTCTGTGAAACTGGACTGAGTGTGTATGCAGAAAGAAAGAGAGGGAAAATGGAGTGCTGTGTCCACTATCAACAGGGAAGTGGTGAATTACACCATTGTACTCTCATTACAGCCACTTTTGTGTGGAAGGTGGCAGCTGTTAATCTTGGCATACGGCTAGAGCCCTTGGATTATCACATGAGCGCACGCACACACACACAGACACGCATGCGCACGCACACACACACGCACACACACGCACACACACACACACACACACACACACACACACACACACACAGGGTATGTGGCTCTGATAAGCTGCGGCCAGTAGCCTTTAAATTCATGAAGCAGCTACTGTTCCTCATTGTTTTGAATAGCTATCAGTTCTCGTCTCGCTCTCATGCTCCTCTTTTGTGGCGACTGTGATAATAGTTCCCTTTACGATCTGAAACAGAAAGGCTTTTGAGTCTGCCTTCTCTGTCATGGGACAGATGAAATCGCCATGACTCTACTGACCCTGTTGTGACTCAATGTACTGGAAAGGCCCGAGGCAGTGAGGACATGAACTCATGGCTGAAGCCACTTATTTCTCCTTTGAACCCTTGTTGTTCTGTCGCTCTGCCACCTTGTTTAACCATGCTCCATCTCTGTGTCTCTTTCTTCCCCCCATCTCTCCATCTCTGTCCTCTTCCAGTTGGGATGTCCTGAGTCAGTCCTCCGGGCCCAGAGAGCGGTGTGCTGATGGGACCTGCTGCGCCACCATGAGCTTACAAGATGGCGGCTGCAGCTACGCCAGCAGCGCCAACATGGCCACCGCTAGTGGCAGCATGCGGCGGCGCCTGGAGGACCAGGAGTTCACCCTGCGCGTCTACCCGGGTGCCCTGGCTGAGGGCACCATCTACTGCCCCGTCAGCGCCCGCAAGAACACCACAGCTGCTGAAGCCATCGAGTGCCTCATCGACCGGTTGCGCCTGGAGCGGACCAAATGCTACGTGTTGGCCGAGGTGAAGGAGTTTGGCGGGGAGGAATGGATCCTGAACCCTGGTGACTGCCCTGTCCAGCGGATGATGTTATGGCCGCGAAGCGCCCTGGAGAATCGCAGCGGTCTGTGCAGCGGCGACGATTACCGCTTCCTCCTGCGGGAGAAGAACCTGGATGGATCTATCCATTATGGCGGCAGCCTGCAGATGTGGCTGCGGGTGACTGAAGAGCGCCGGCGCATGGTGGAGCGGGGTTTCCTCCCCCAGCCTGCAGGGAGCGACCCTCCGTCCGACCTGTGCGCTCTCCCAGAGCTGACAGAGCGTGCCCTTTTAGAAAGCCTTCGTGCACGTTTCCGCCAGGAGAAGATCTACACGTACATTGGGAGTATTCTTATTGTGATTAACCCGTTCCAGTTCCTGCCCATCTACAACCCCAAATATGTCAAATTGTACGATAACCACACGCTGGGGAAGCTGGAGCCCCACATTTACGCTGTGGCGGATGTGGCGTATCACGCCATGCTGCAGCGGAGGAAGAACCAGTGCATAGTGATTTCTGGTGAGAGCGGGTCGGGGAAGACCCAGAGCACTAACTTCCTCATTCATCACCTGACCGCACTCAGCCAGAAGGGGTTCGCCAGCGGGGTGGAGCAGATCATCCTGGGAGCCGGGCCTGTGCTAGAGGTAAGAAACTCACTGGACAGCACCTGCACTTTCATACAGAGGACACGGCTCTGCCCATGTTTGTCTGAGTGTTGACAAGACATCTCAAAATCACTTAAATTACAGTTTCATGGTATTTTGTTTGGGTCAAGGAACAGCTGATTTGATTTTGGTTGTGGTTCTGATGTGGATTTTCATGCCACAAGCAAGATCTCCGAAACTAATACAGAGAGACAGTTGCTTCCAAGTCTTTGGTGAGTGTGTGAGCCAGGTGAAGAAACCAGAATAAAGTCTTTGGGTAAAAGAACCTTTCATTGTTGTTGTTCTATGAATTTGCTTGATGATTTTGTTTTCCAGCTGACTGAAGACCAGCTCAGTTGAGTCTAATAGCCCTTTTCACTGTCTCCGGAGCTTTACCTGCAGTTTGATCCACAGGACCTTATGTCTAAATCTCCTGGTCCATAGTTCCTGCCGCTCAATGAGGCAAACACAACGCAAAAGGAACCTTCAATTTTTCTATTTAGTTCCCTAGTGGTGAAAGCAGCATGGATAATGAATTACAAGTGTTGCTGACCTGGTTGTTGCTGCTAGCATGTTGTCCAGTTCAATTCTGCATTTTAACACTACAACTGTCTGTTGCTGTTCCTCATTTGTAGTATTTTCTGCAACTAATCAGCTGCAGAGTAGACAATCTGCTTCCTGTTTACACCGGCATGCACATGCACAGTGAGCGGTCATGTTATGTGTGTTTTCAGGTGTGTTAGTGTGGACGGAGATCGATTTTGTTTTAAAATGAAAACGTAGTAGTGTGGATGTAGCCTTAGTTCCTAACCCCTTAAAGACAGAGCAGAGTGCAAGTCCAGTTCCAGTCTGAGACAACTGTTTGGTACTTAAGAAGATGTTCTTCTCAAGGACGTGTTGTGGTGTTAAGGCTATGTGGACTTTTAAATTACGGCTCGGTTATTCTACTATAGTTGTCCTGTGTTTACTAACAGATCGCTTAGTTTTAGTTTAAGATAATGTGATCTAGCTGCATGTGCTACAGCAGCAGGCTGAATACACTTCATATGTTGTGAATTAGACACCCCGGTTAAAGGAAGTGACAAAAGCCTGATGAAATCTGAGCAGAAGTCAGCAGGTTATTTCTCTGGCGCTGGAATGTCAGCTCATGAGACGAGGCATGAAATGGATTATAGAAATGTCCTTCTCAAACTGGAATGCCCCCACATGCAGGGAAACCTATATTTAGCCCCCGGATTTACCACATATGACTCTTATATATATTATGTGACCCAGAAATGGGGTTTTCCGTACTGTCCAATCTCTGCATAGACGCCGGGGAAAAAAAAAAAAAACCTAATGGAATTTTTTCTAATCCGCCCTGGATTATAAATCAATAATGGATTATGGAATTTCATTGGGAATTTCATGTTTTTCAGAAGGTCTGATCAAGGGCAACATGTTTTCCTCAGCCTGATAAATGTGACTCCGTGAGTCTCAGAGCAGTTTGTTGTTTTCTGGCTGCCATTTTGTTCTGCAGCTCGCAGCTTCCTGTCAGGACGTATGGGAATGTCATGTCATCGCACAGCTGTGCCTGCTGACACCATGTGGGTCCCATGAGGAGCGTCTGTACGGTGAAACGAGGCTGCTGCACAGACAGTTGGATGTATAGTTTGTCATCTGGAAACCTTTTAGACCTCCTCGCTGCTTCCGGGGGAAGAAAATTGTGACTGCAGCTGCTTTCATGTTTTCACTTTTGTTACATAAAGAATAAATGGTCTCTGGCCGCTGTTAAAACCTCATTTTATTTAGGGGAACTCCTGCTTTATACAGCGCCGTACATCCTAAGAGTCTCATGCAAGATAACAAACACGGGATGTATTACATTTTGAAAACAAATGGTAGCTTCACCACATAGCTGCGGTTGAACCCGTTCGTCACATGTGCTGCAGTTGCACTTATCTGCAGGTGATGACTTGACAGTGATCACTGAAGACCTGTCGGAGCTCAGCTGCCGGAGGCGACAGTGGCTGCGACGACCAAAAAAAGGCTTGTTTCTGATGAGAACACGGGTAGAGGAACATTATTCTCTGAGGAACTGGATACTGTTCATTGGTGTGTGGTGTGAGCATGACTGTGTCCCATGTAATCACTTCCCCATCAATCACCTGTCTGGCCGAGGTGTGAGAAACAAGGTGCACAGTTTACATGCCACAGAGACAAACAAGCAAAGGGAGACATCGTGTAACACGCCATATATTTGATTTCTGGCTCCAGTTTCTTGTTTGTTGTCGTCTTTTTACTTCAGTTGTTGCTGGTACTTTGACAGATGTAGGAAACATGATGTCATGAGGACAATACAAGAAGAAGAACTGATTTTTGATGAAACCTATTACAGTCTTTGCTTGCCTACATCACAACATGTACAAATTTTAAGAAATATGCAAAAAAAGAAAAAGGTCAGTTTCTGGGAACAAAGGTTAGATGAGAAGATTGATGCCATTCCCATATGTGTACAGTAAACCTAAAGTTACAGCCAGCAGTCGGTTAGCTTAGCATCACGTTTGGAGACAGTGGGAATCAGATGGCCTCTCTCAATCCAAAGATAACCAAATCCACCTACCAGCACCTCTAAAGCGCAATAATGAACACATTACATCTTGTTTGTTTAATCAGTATGTAAACCACCAACACAAAAACATCAATTTGCTGTTTTACAGGGGGCGTAGCTGGAGTTCCTGGTAGCCTAGCAACTATTCCAAGAAATAATTGCCCAAAAAATTGGAAATTATTTTTGAATCTTGGTTCTTGTACAGATTAAACAAGCAAGCTATAACACGTTAATTAATGAGCTTTGGAGGCGCTGGTAGGTGGATTTTGTAACATTTGAAGGTAAGTAATGCTAGCTGTTTCCATCTGTTTCCAGTGTCTGTGCTAAGCTAAGATAAGCTAAGCTAAGCTTTATATTTAACAGACAGATTTGAGAAAGCAAAAAAGCTTTCCCAAAATGTCAAACTACCGCTTTAATTCTCTACCTGTGAAAGTGAAAGTGATGTCTGGTCCAGTAAGATTAGTGCATTAATAACACAGCCTTAACACAGCATTTCATTCTTTTATTGACCTGACATTATCATTGGAGCCCACAATGACCTGTTTCACAATATTGATATAAATAAATGCACATATAGCAGCGAGAGAAGGCTTCCCAACTGGGTCAGTAATAACACAAAGAAGAAATGAAAGGAGCCACTTAATGCAGAAAAGAAATAGCAGTCACATACCCCCCCCCCCGATTGAAGAACCCTTGACTTCACCACGTTCCCGCTTTTCTGAAACCAAACCTACGGCCTCACATTGTCTCAGGTCACATCAGGAGCAGCAGAACTGTGATTTAGAAATGAGCAAACTCATTAAGACTAATTCTATAAATGTCTGAGAGGAAGCAGGAAAACACCAAGTCCAATGCACCAGACTCTGATAATTTCTAATTCTATTGTCAGTCTGATTATCTACAAATCTGTTTAAAATGCTTAATAATGTTAAATGACCTGATATTTTACTGGCTTTTGCAAATATAATTGCATTAAACTAAACCTGTGTAAATCATTGTTCCTCATTAAATCTTTTCATCAGAAAGTACAGAGATAACATTGTACCCAGATTGTAGACAATCTAATGTCATGCCCAGATATATTCAGCATGACTGACAATGCAGTGTGATGGCAGAAAATGCTTCAGTGATCGAGGATCATCATGTTCTTGTGTCAGAAAAGGAAGAGCTACAATTTTTCAGCAGCATAAAAAGCACTTTGAGAGGAAGTTTCAGCCATATTGTTTGGAAACATTACATAATATGCAGAATATGTTTATTTATAAGAGAGAATAATCACCAAAGATATGCCGCTGTGCTGGAAATAAAGGTCTATTCAATTTTCTTTTGTAAAAATTAGGGACTAGTATCATACACTATCTACATCCATCAGCTCACTCTCTATAAACAACACCTAACATGAACTATTTCCCTGTGTGCTGTAGCTTTTCCATCTCACCCCGACAGCTGAACATGACGTCCACATTAATGCTCTGTCTGCATAGTACGACCAACAGCTGGACGCAGAGACATCACGGGCTGCTGTGGACGGCCCCGGGGCCTGACATGTTGCTCTGAGAAGCAGCTCTCTGGGGTAAAAAGTTTACCGTCGGCCAAGGCAAAAGAGCTGCGGAGCTGAACCGGTCGAATTCTTTGGTTTCCACAAGTTGTAATGCCAATTACAGAGCCATTCGCTTCGGTCAGATGCTGCCGCCGCTGCTGCGCTGAGGCTTTGTGGACGTTTGAATGTTCGCCCTGAGGCAGAGTCAGGCTGGAAATATGAGGTCAGCGAGGCTTATTAGATGGATTACAAATGCATGCCAGTCTTGAAGAGGTTTTAAGGATCTGGCCAATTTGCTGGTTCCTTAATGTGTTTAGTAGCTGTCAGGTCCCTTTTGTCTCCCTGTATGAAGCTATATTCTCCATATGTTATCCCTCCATCTGCTCTAATCCTCCCTCCTAATGCTGTCAATGGGTTTCCTTTATTTCCTTTCCTGTATTTGCAGTAATCTAACTTCGTTCATAGAGTTGGGGGAGTTACTTGGATCAAATGTAATCGATTACACAATATATAGTAAATGCCATTACTTAACTAATTACTCAACATCCCAGCTGAGTCAGAGGTGCCTTTTTAAAACATCAGCTGTACAGACTGTAAACCCTAAATTTGTGATTTTGGGTTTTGTACTTGTCTCCAGCATCTCAATACTCACATACTACATATTCTGTATTTAATGCATGTGGACAAGACATTATGTTTAAAGCGCCTGTAATTGATATTTGAATCTGAATCTGAATCTTTATAGTGAGGTGCAGCTCAGCGTTTAGCTGTCCGGCCCACAGCTTTACTGTTCGGGTTCACTGCTCTCACAGAGTCATGTTTGGCTGCGGCAGGTACATTGTACACCGCCGGCTCAGCTCCTGACAGCAG